ATAATATTGTATAACAATTACTATAATTGCCAGTAGGGTTTTTTGCCACTGCCATAGCTGTTACCATCTTTCTGATTGGAATCAGGATTTATTGCACAATGCACAGTCTGTTATTATTACTATATCTATGGGTTAATCGGAAGCTGACTGTGTTCTGAAGATTACCGATTGTTGCCAGTGCATCCAATGAAATAAAGAAAATTGTAAGATGAGTTTTTTTAGCTTAGCTAAGTGTTGCCAATGCAGGACAGCGAAATAAAAAATTATTCAATGAATACTTTTTTTTTCCCCCAGTATGATGAGCTAGGATTATCTTCATCGGTTATTATTATCATGCCCCATTGAACAAAATTACTATTTTTGGATGGATCAAAACGTTTTTAAATGTAGTTATAAAACTCGTTACTTTTTAAATAAATGTTTCATTTGTGATTAGAATGTTTGTACTTTCATTCTCAATTTGAGAAATCATTGATCTAATTTCACATTGTTAAGCACTTTTGTATGCGAATATCAGACAGTGTTCTCTTTTTGAGATTGCTATTTTGTTTTCTTGTTTTGTGGTTAGAAAAATCTAATTTTGGGATGTTGTCATTAAGCCTAGGAAAGAACATGAATCTGAGTTATCTCTTCGATGTCAATTCACAGAATATACTTTTTCTTAAAGAAGGAGAAAAGATCTCCAATAAAATAATCTTCAATCTGCTTGTCCATATGTGCTTTCTTCTTTTCCCCCTTTCCTCTCAGTATGAATGGCATTCCCAATCGCTCAGTTATCGATATGACCGCTCGTAATTTCTCCGCAAATCGAACGTCTCTCACCTTTCCATTCTGCACAGAGTTTTGGTGCAATAAATTTCAGATTACGGCCCAATATTTCTCTCCAGTGGGCAATCTCCTTCCGCCACCTGATCGGAAGTTATTGTAGCCAACAAATTGACTTTGATAATTCTACTGCACCGCGTTTATTTGAACGTGAAGTTTGCGTCAGCGTATATCTCGTTGTTATGGCAACCGTTCTCAACCACTGGCTCGTCTTATTCCGAATCGGAATAGGTGTGATACGCGTTGCTTAATTCGGTGTATTAGAAAGGTTACAGTTTCTGTCTTTTATCTGTAGATATTTACGCTTTTTTCCTAAAATGGGATTTAACGTTTTTGTATCGGATCGCCATTTTACGGTTGCCCTTAAGGGGGACTCATACACCTTAAACTCCTTATGATCTTTGAATATGTGACTGTTGCAAGAATTGGGATATTTTATTTATTTTAAAAGCAATTACTTCCAACTTTTTACAGCTGACTACATAATACAGCTGCTTTGGAAAATAGCAACTAGAAAGTTTGTGTTGCCACAAATATTTTTGTAATTTAATCCTCTTTGTGACAAAATATTTCGCCATGTTTCCACCTTGCGCACATGATATTTTAAAAATGGCTAATGGTACATACTTGAAATTGGATGGAATTCTTTATACATGCACTATTTTCTAACTGAACCAACAATCTGATGAATATTTTAATATTGAAAAATTTTATGGACGAAAACATTAAAAATTTTGTTAATAAAATACATTTTATAAACTGAACTCAAAATAAAATAAAAATTTAACATGAAATTTTTAGAATTTTAGGTTTACAGTAGTTTCCAAATGTTATAAAAGCTATATATTAAATATGGAATTAAATTATGAAACAGAATGTTTTAAACTGTGTGCGCAATTTGGAAACATGACGAAAAATGTTGTCACAGAGCGGATTAAATTATAAAAATATTTGTGGCAACACAAACTTTCTGATGACTATTTCAGAAAGCAGCTATGTTATGTAGTCAGCTGTAAAAAGTTGGTAATAATTGCTTTTAAAATAAATAAGTTATCCCAATTCTTGCAACAGTCACCTATTCCAATATCTTATAGGTTTTAAGGTGTCTGAGTCCCCTTAAACGTATGCAGTTCTCTGTGTGATTATAAATATCCGAGAAGGCAGATACTTCTCAGGTGCTTTGCCATAATCAAATAAAAGTTATTCTTTCTTATTACGAAAATGTTATAGACAAGCTGCAATATATTGAAAGACAATATGGCAGATTAAAATTTTAGAAAGATAAAATTTACTCTTAATTAGCTGTAACGAGTCTGCAGCCAAGGGAAAATGGCGCGAATCATTTTTCTTGAAGTACCAAATATATTTTAGAATAAAAGAATTTTTCAACACTTGGCAGGGCTGAAAAATTTATTTATTGAAACAATGACATATTTGCTGGAAGTATGGGATTTAAATAGCGCAGAATTATGTAAATAACACACGCTCCAGAATTGCTGGTTGTAACTGCTTTAACAGACTGAGCGATTTAGAAACAGTAAATGCGCTTCTTAATAATTAAAATCTTTATTTTATTGTGTAATGCATGTAATTTGTGTAATGTAAAACGAATTTATTATATATATCCAAATGATAACTGTGAACATTTTCTATGCTATTATAATCAACAAAAAGTGTTTCTAATGCATATATTTCGTTGTTAGGATAGGAAAACGGCATTTTTAATGATGGAGCTAATTGATAAAGCGCATTTTTGTGGGCGTTTTTACCACTGCTTTGATTAATAAAATATATTTCTAATGACGTATATTACATTCCGTGGTGGAGAATCTCTTTCTTTTGATTTATTTTTAGAAGTCATTTCTTCAATTAATTTTTTTTCAAGCTTTACTTATGAAAACATTACAAATGAAAATAAGCTGAACCTTTATACAAGCGAAGGGATTGCTAAAAATTCTGTTGAATCCAAAAGGTTCGAGTTGAGGAGGGGGAGCTTTGAGGAATACTGTTGAAGATAGTTAAATTAAGAATTTATAATTTCATGATAGTCGTTTTAAAGTAATGGCGGGAAAATACTGTTTCTAACAGAACCACTAATAGTTAACATAATAGCTAACCATTGAGTTAACTGGGAGCAGATTATGAAAATAATTATAGTGCATTTTCTTTTCAAGATTTAAATAATAAGTACACTTTCATCTATATATATGTAATAATAAAATTCCATAGTCAAGAATACACTTAAAATTCTAACTGTATGTTCTTTTCATTTTTAATGGCGACGTTCTCTTATTTGAAAGTACGTGGAATTAAATCCACAGCCTCTTAGTCAAGTTGTTTTCCCCGCCTTTTCTACACGTACAGTTATAGAATGTTCTGGAAATATTTAAAGCGAACTGGATTGGTTGACGTCAATTCTCGGAAGCTCCGCCTTTCCAGAGGTTATAAAAGGACTCGCAAAAGAATATCGGGGGCTTTTTCTTTAATGTAACGATGCAGTAAACATACAAAAAGTTATTAGTAATTCTTTTTTATTTACTCCGGATATCTGATTTTGTAACTGCTATTTCTCCTGACCAATAATAAATGGATCCTGTTTTTTAAACTTATCGTCTGATAATTTAAGCTACGACTACATCTCACAAATTTATTTATTCCGGACAAAAGCTGGTACATCACATATATATATGTATAATGCATGTAAGATGAAAATATGTAACTCTCAAAATTATAAATTAAACTAGCAATAGCTCTTAATTATTCCCCCTCTCTATTCTAAAAATAGTAATAACTTTTCTGGACTGCATCATTTCTAGATCAGTCTATGTCATAACGCTAATGACGTAGCTAATTCGGAACTTGAACTCATAATTGCGAGAACTTTCTCTTAAAAAGCAACTTAAACCGAAACCTTCTCTTAATGGGCTACCATATTGGATAACTGCGCACTTTAGCTTCTACCTCTCTTCTTGTTAAGACGCTATTTCGCTGTCCTCCCTTCCTATCGCAACAATATCAAACATGTAAATTTTTTGAATATGCACAACTAGAGTGCCAAGTAAATTGTGGCTGCAAACGTTAATTGAAATTAAGGTTACCCAGGAATAAACGAACCCAGACAGTTTAAAGTCTTGTTGTGCAGTTTAGAGATGCTTTCAGAAGAAAATTTTTCAAATGTAGATTAAAATTCTTTTTCGATTTTCTTTTTTAATTTTTTCCTTTGAGAACATACAGACTCCCCGTGCACCACATATGTACAACACGGGGCTTACAGAAGTAAGTTAACTAGAACATTAAAGGTTACATGTATAAATAAACATTAAAAATTACATGCATAAATAAAGCGAACAAAAGCAGAGAACAGCAGTCCGGACGAAAACAGATAAGTTTCACTGGCCAAGTCACTCCGAACATTTTCAAATCGTTCTGTAAGCATAATCTAGGGCCATCAAATGTAGGGCACGAGAAAATCAAATGTTCCACATTCTGAGAAACTCTTTTTGAACATTCACATAAATTGTTTGATCGTAGATTAAAACGAAACAGATAACTTGCAAATTTAACGTGACCAGATAAAAACTGAGACACTTTAAAATTTAACGAGAGGAAAGACTCGGAATTCAGTCTATGGTAAATAGAAGGAAGGAACTTTTTGGTGACTTCAGCATTACAAGATGAAATGTATTCCTCATTCCACATCTTCATTCTTTTTTAATTTCGTAACAAAAAGCTTCTTGAAGCAATGAAAAATCTGTTTCAAAGGGTGAGGAACTGTGACGATTACAGAATTAAACATAGAATTAAGTCAAATCTGAGTTGGGCTAAAAATCCTTGAAGACAACTCATACTATCAGTGAGTAAGAACCAAAAACATACTCAAAATACTAGAATTGCATGTTTTGAACATTTTCTCACAGGAACAGAGTTGGTTGAGACCTAATTGCAAAATTTTTCTAGTGTTGAAGGATTCTTTTATTTAAACTAGATCATATAATTGTATGGTTATGCAAATTTATAAAAAATTAATCCGATTTTAGTATTGTTTGTAACATATATTTTTAGTTTTTGTAAACTTTCGTAAAATATGTAAAAGAGTTTTGCATTATAAAAATGTTGATTTTATTCATAAATATGTTACTCTGCGTTTTTTTAAACCGTATTATTTATGTTTTTAGGCTCGAAATTCTTCAGGGAAAAAGAAAAGCACATCAAAAGAAGGTCAGTATTTCATTTATTTTCATTGTTTTTTATTGTTGCAATAAATTAATTCAGTTTGCTTTCGTGTTGTCCCCAATATAAATATTAAAAATGAAAAAATAGAACCATAGAAAATTATTTCAAAAGGCTATCACTGATAAAGCTTCTTATATTTTTAGTTGTGACCATTTTTTTTTAAATTATCTTTTTAACTTTATTGCATTGTCAATTCAATTTTTTTAGATGCTTGTTGTACATTGTGAATTTAATATAGCTGGAAAGAACTAAAACAATTTTAGTGCTAATGGTGCAGGGTTAGGCTACTACTAGGCTTTTTTTGCCACCAGATATGTCTGCTGCTTAAGTTCTGGTGCCAGCGCTATACTGAATTATTCATAAGTACAGTAGAACATCTTAGAAATTAATCAGTGGTAAGATTTAGTTGGATGCATCAGAAAGCTGAGCGATGTCACAATTGAATGGAAATGATCATTTGTGAGAGTATGTCATTAAAAACTTTCCTCTAACATAAAGCGTGAGGCAATGAGAGATGATGGTTAATGGTGAAAGCTACCACAATCTTCAAATTTAAAGCCATGTGACTTTCTTGGTGGGTTTAGCAAAGATTTTGGAACTTGGATCTGATGGTTCATTAGGCATGTGCCCTGAGGTGTTGGCATTCGTTTGAGGTTTCTGCACAAATACTCCTTTTACCAACTACTTATGAGGTTGTTGTCTTGTCCGAGAAGTCACTGCAGAAAAGTCAAATAGGACCGAAAGTATCCGAAACGGAAGAGATGGCCTGGAGAAAGTTGGATATCAGTACAGTAAGGACAACTATAGTATTTTCGCTGACCATCAGGGGATATCTTCAGTCCTTTAAAGTGTTTTGTACTGATGAGGTAAAAGAATAGACTGGAAAAATATGGAAATTTTACTCATTTGAGAGTAAGATTGTAGAGACATTAGGATTTTTGGAAGCCAGAGAGATGAAAAATTAGCAATCACCTTCGCCGGGAATCGGACCATGGACCTCTGGAATACCGGCCCAGCGGGCAGAACCACTACACCACGAAGGCACGCTAGGAAAGTGGGAGAAACACCTTATAAGATAGTTTATCATTTGGACAAGTAGGCATAGAAAAGTTTGCCGTTCACGGTAATTTCTTTTGTTCGAGTCCTGAGACAATACAGCAAGAGTAAAAGAAGTATAATGTACAGCTGCTCTTAGAAGGTTATCCATTCATTTGTGACCCTGTGTTCTGCTGCTTTGTTTGAGTGAGTTGGCTGGGAGTTCTTGTCTATCATTTAACTCTACCCAAGTAAGTATCTTCTTAATTGAGAAAAGGATACTTTTTTACCAAATTAGTTGTGAGGTGAATGACAGTTCTGCTGGTTTTTGACCTTGTTTATGGACAGATTTTGGAGCTGTGCATCTCTTTGCACATTCCTTCTGTTCTGCTGATAAATTTTATATTCTGCACATCCCCTGAGTGTCCACTTTTGCAAAAATAATAAACATCACACTACCTTTTTTGATAGTTTGTCTTTTGTAACCTTGTCTCTTATACTGACGATATAATTCCGATACTAGTAAATGATTTTTCCTTCAAGATTTGGTAGCAGTTTCAGAAATTATCCATAATAAAAGCATAAGATAACTTCATGAACATGTTTAGTAAATCGTTTCACTCATGATGGAGTATTTCTTTTTCAAGAAATTCATCTTTGATTTTTCTCTTAAGGATATTAATCGGGTTCCTTAATACTATATGCACATTACACTTTGATGACAAGCTTGTGCATGTGGAATGGGATACACTTTTCTGGAAGATATTCACTCCCATTTCTCTAAGTTTCTTCAGTTTTTGTGTAAATATGTCTTGAATCATTCACAGACAGAATATGTCTTCCAGTTCATCGACAGAGATGGTTAAAAGTATTTGCTTTATTTACAGCCAGTCAACTTATGATGGAAAAACGATTCTGGTACTTTCGCAATTCCATCTTTTTATTGTTATTTTATCTTCTCTTTTTCCAATTTCCAATTTCTTTTTCTGATCTGTTTCCTTCTTTGACGAGGAGAATTACTCTATCTGTTCATCTCCTGAATTTTCCCTACCTGATAATAGCAACATATAAAGATTATGTATCTTCAATAGGAGCAACTGTCATTCTGCAGGAAGCTTTCGCTATCTTCTTCGGAGTTTACATTTCGTTGCTTTCATTCTGCTCCTGGGATTGGCTCCATTTTTGCTTCTCTGTTTCCAAAGTATCTGTAGTTCTTATCCCTGACGCCATTCCCCCCCCTCTTACTTTGTGATTCAATTTTTTTTTTAAGTCCAAAGGGGCTTCTGAAGGACTATTGCTCTCGTTTTGCATTGGAATCCTATAAACGGCATATCACTTTCCAAATCGTTGCCACCAAATACTATCACCCTGTATTATATTTGAAGAAATTAAATAATGAAGAATCTGCATAAATGTTTGTATGTTTCTCGCATTGTGATAAAACAATGGTACCTAAACCCATACAATTTTGAATGACATAATCCTACTGCGAATCTGGGCATTTGAAAGCCCAAATTTGGAATTTGTTTTATTATCGATTTCATATTTTGTAAAACTTTAAAGAATTTTTCGTTAACAAAACGATTTAAAAGCGAGCAATGGCAACACTCTACGGAGGGGGCAAAAACTTTTTATCTCCAGCGTGCGGAACTGTGTATCAGAAATTGTAAAGATATACTCATTTTAAAGTTATTTTGCGACATTGCTGTTGAACTGAATTTTATGGTTTAAGTGCAAAGAAGATAATATTTAATAAATAAAGGTAACACACAGAACATTAAAAAGATGCCCCTTTGGACATAATTTAAAATCTAAAACTTTTTTTAAAATATGTATTTTTTTATTTTTTCTGGAATATGTCAGGGTCTCTTCTTCAAATTATTTATGCTTTCTGTTTTCAGTCATCATCTGGATCTTCTATGGTATTGTTTTCCCAAAATTTTTAAGAGTTCCTAATACTTTTATAGTACTGCTGGGAAAACAATCTTGCTTCTTTCTTTCAGAGTCTTAACATAGCTTTCTTAGATGCTCATCCTGCTCACGTGTTCTTCTATTAGGAAAATGGTAATATTTTCCTCATAGAATTTCACTTTCCAATCTTCTATGGTGATACAAGAATTCCTTCATGTAATGCGTTCTTATAAAATTTATGAAAACATTGCCATTCTTTTCCTTCCAATAACTGCTGTATTCTTGTGGCTTGTTCTGTAAAATTGGCTTCAAGTGATGAAGCCATTCCTTTAATAAAAATAATGTAGAAGTTCAAACATCAAGTGGTACCAAAGCAGAACTCATAAAAATCTATGCAACTATATCCACATCTCCAGCTCAAATATAATGTCATGTGATCTAACTTGTGTCTGCATTTTCTGTAGATCTCCAATAACTTTACCTTTGTATCTATAGTGCCATAGGTGTTCTTGATTCATTAGGAAACAAATTGGGAAACTAACTGGTTTGTCACATGGATACCCATCGTGCAGGTGTCCGCCGATAACATCGCGGCAAAAACATCGCGGAGAAAACAACGCAAGGCGAAAACATCATGCTACAAAACATCGTGAGAGAAAACATCGTGTGTGGAAACATCGCAAAGAGAAAACATCGCAGTTCTAAAACATCGTCGTCGAAAATAAAGCGGTTCAAAAACTTCACAATTTAAAAACATCGTCGTCGAAAATGTGATAAAAAATAAAGTATCTACAAATCATCGCATGACGATAGCATCGCAGACATGCTTTTTTCAGGCTTTAGTAACTTTAAATGGATATTCCCATTATGATTTGTGAGCGCAAGATGAAAGAAGGATAATTTTTACTTTCACATTTTTTTATTAACTAATAAATTTTTGCTGAGAAAATAAGAAGGAAACTTAAGCATAGCAAATTATTGCAACTTATAGCACTTAATATAATTTTAAACTGACATAGTTAATTAACAAAGGCCATTAATAAATCATTTTTATAAAGTTTTTACTGGTAATTTTTCATGAAAAGTATAATCTACAAATTGCATTTAATTTTCTATTCTTAAGTTTCCTTCTTACATTTTCAGCAAAAATTTATTAATTAATAAAAAAAATGTGAAAGTAAAAATTATCCTTTTTTACATCTTGCGCTCACAAATCATTATGGGAATATCCATTTACAGTTATTATAGCCTGCAAAAAAGCATGTCTGCGATGTTATCGTCTTGCGATGATTTGTAGATATTTTATTTTTTACCACGATATTTTCGACGACGATGATTTTAAACTGCGAAGTTTTTGAACCGCTTTATTTTCGACGACGATGTTTTGTACCACGGTGTTTTAGAACTGCGATGTTTTTTCCCACGATGTTTTGTAGCACGACGTTTTCGCCTTGCGTTGTTTTTCTCCGCGACGTTTTCGGCCGCGGTGTTTTTGCCGCGATGTTTTCGGCTGTAACCATCCTGCCTACAAAGGTTGGCATTATTGAGCATTTATAAAATAAGTAAAGAAAATCTGGTGAATTTACCTCTGTTTGCTTGAATAAAATGTGGTATCTGTTGCATATAATATTTTATAATGTATTTTTAGAAATTATATGAATTTAATTTTAATAAGTAATAAACTATTTATTTTTTTTAACCGTATTTTTATGCTAACTGTTGAAATTGTAACTTAAAGCTGAAGGTTTGAATCAAGCTGAAGGTTTGAATCAAGCTGAAAGTTTGAAAGTATCTAGTTTTTTTAATGGCTTTTAACAGAATGTGATTTGATGGAATTTTATATTGTGTAATAAATATTTTTTTAATTCAAGAAATAATCTTTTAAAAGTTTTTTTAACTCTATTTAACTTTCTTTTCACAACGTTATTGGATGACTTTGGATCAAAAACTATGGAACAATCACTGGTGAGTTACATAAATGTGAGGATGCATGTTAAGGCAGTTGTTGAACTTGCCATTACAAAATTTGCCAGCATGGCTTGTTTTTGTTTTGTGGTTTGAATGTGCTTTTATTTGTAACAACAGTTTCTAAATTCTCAAAATTTCTATCATGTATCGCAGAGCAACCGTATTCACAGTATTCCCAGGTGTATTTATCCTTTCCAGTGTGCTGTAACTATATCCTATTTTCTGCATAGGATGTATGTGGTGTATTTCAAAAGTTTCATGAGTATGATATATGTGTGACAAAAAGTAATATTGTTTAAATATACAGAGCACTAATGCTATTTATAATGATGTCATGATACTGTTTATAATGAAGTCATGAGTAGGTAATTAACAATTTATCATGTTCATAATTACTAATTTCTTTAAAAATAAGATTTACTTTGTCAAGTTAGTGAATAATATATGCCTAAGACTGTCTTAATGGTAATTCTTCATGGTTACCTGCTAAGCTTCTAGGTTACTGCTAATTTCACCACCTTTTTCAATAACTTTTTCAAGAATTAAATTGCATACAGGAGCTACATAACATGGACAGAAAACTAATAAGTTTGCTATCGTGACGAAATATTCTGCCTCTGGTAAGTTCTAAACATATAGCAATAAACTTTAAAGAAAATTATATTTGTGCTAAACATTAAAAAAATTCATCAATGACTTTTAGTATAATGTTAAAATATTCCTAATTAAGTATTTTAACTTCACTTACTGAATAATACTAAAAACGTTTAGTTATAACATGTTGCAGATCAGTTATTTTTTTCCTATATAGAATGGAAGTTATTTATGTATAACTTTAATTTGTGCATATAAGTATGTGTATGCATATATTGTGTATTACATGTTGAGGAAGACTAGAAATAATATTGAGATGAATAAAAGCTGCTTATAGCAAGATAAGTAATTATAAATAGCTGAGAGGAAAACAGAGGTAACGTAGAATTCTGTTCAACGTGCTAGGAATCTGTCCGCGATGTTTTCATCAAAACTGTGATTGCACACAGTCACAAAGCAAAGTGAATAAAAATAGTAATCCTTAAGAAAGGAAGCCCTGTTGCAAAATAATCACATAATTAGTTTTGAACTGCAGTTGGGCAGCTTCATTTTTAAGGGAAAATTCAAGCATCTCTGGAACATTCCAGAAAAGAGCTTCAAAAATATGTTTTTCGGAAATTTTAAAATTCTGCAACTTAAATGAAGTTCTGCATCATCTCTTTCTGTTTTAGATCTTCTGAAATAAATTTTGAGACCTTAAAATAATTATATCTCACAAGAAAATACTGAAATGAAGGTTTGTGAAAGAGTTATGGTGCATTGTAGAATCGAAATTTTTACTAAAGGAAATTCATATTATGAAATATTTCATGAAAACGAATGTGTATCTTGATAGAAAATTAATTATTTAATAGTAGTAGCAACTTGAATAGCTTTACTATTTTTTACATAAATTCAATTTTTTATACATTTTAATTATTATAGAACATTTTGGGTAATGCAACATTTTAATACAGTCAAAAGTCGTTAATTCGGACACCCATAATCCGGAATGATCTATAATCCGGACCTCAAGCTAAAAACTTTCTGCGCATGCGCCGCGTTGGGACATGCGCCCAAGCGTTTTACGCGTGCGCGTAAGATCTTGACTTCTGCGCATATGCGTGTGCGCAAGTGCAGAATACGTTTTCGCCTGTGCGTTTAATGTATAACGGACGGTGTAAGCTAAAATTATCTAATTATCTATTTCAGTTAATGTTAATGATTGCGTTATTCCTTAATCTTCGAATTGGATCCCGCTTTTTATTTTTTGCAGACTGTAAGAGCAATTTTATAAAAGTAAACTTGAACTTTCGATTATGTCAAATAGAATTTCCGATGCTGGAACTTCCAAAGGATCTACAAAACGAAAGTATGTTTCGATGTTCAACAACCAAAAAGTGGAATTGCTGCAAAAAATGGATAAAGACATGAAGAATGTGACAGAGAGGTTAGTGAAAACGAAAAAATTTCAATTGACAAGTTAGTCGGTATTCTCGGCACAGCAATTAACGGGACTTGAACAGCGGAACTTTGTAACTGAACAAGAAATTATGTCTGTTTATAGAATTAAAGAGAAAGTATTATCACAGGGAAACGAAGCAACTTAAACAAACTTACATTGAAAGAAATGTTTAATAAAGTAAACAAATAAAATATTGATGTTTTTTTTTTTTTTTTTTTTTTTTTTTGTAAATTTTGATACCCTTTAGATCATAATTGTTCTTTATTTCATAAATTACGGTTTCATATTTTTAATTTTGTAATTTCTGCATGCCATCGTACGAGATTTAAACTTATGATCTATAATCCGGAAAAATCGATAATCCGGAATCGCCGAAGGTCACGATCCCGACGAATCCGGATTAAAGACTTTTGACTGTAGTTGCTTATGCAAGCTGAAAAAGAGATTCTGATTTTTTTAATAATTTCAGTTATGTTTTAATTGCCTTGAGTATCTCTTTTTTTTTTTTTTTTTCTTTTCCCTTCCAATTTGTGGCCTTTATACTGAGTATTTTCATAAGGTATTGAACTAAACAACAAAAAATTTAGTCTTTGTATTTTTTTTTTTTTTTTAATTTTCATATAAATACAGTTGTTTTTATTTACTATTTTTTATCTTTTAGTGTAAAATTATGAATTTTGTAAAAATTCCACTATATGATTTGTTTCTGATAATCATGCATGTATGAATTTCTTTATTTCATATTTTCACATTCACTACATTTTATTCTAAAATAATAGGAGAACTTTGTTTCACAAAAATGTTTTTGTATAAATCTTCTTCTGAATATCTTATAGAATTATTTATTGTATTTGTAAGTAAATTTGACAAAGAACATGAATTATTCATCAAGAACATTAGATTAAAATATGATGTGAATAATGAGATGAATATGTAGGTTCTTTCCTGCAGTATATATTATTTTATTTTAAATCTGTGAATGCGGTTGTGGAGCATTTTCTGAAGCATGAAGTATTGAATTTTTTTTTTTTTTTTTTTAACATTTGTATGTGTGACCTTTGCTTTGCTTTCAAGTTAATGCTTTATTAAAAAAAATGCATGTATCTAGCTGGTATTTAGTTTTGAGGCAACGAAATTAAATATCATTACTTAGAAATGTTTTATTTTAAAGGAGACATCTGCCAGATTTTAAGAAAATTTTATTTAAAACTTTTGTAAATAGCTTTGTTGACTTGTTATTATCTTTCCGTCTGTGTCCTCTAACTGGTACATTAAAAAAAAAATTGGGGGGAAGGACTTTTATAACTGTTGTTAGAATTGGCAGTATTTATCTATTGTATTTTTTTCTTGACTGCGATTTGCGATTGGAAATGTTCTGAATCGCACTTTTAAAACTAAATTTGTTAGATGCAGTTTAGTTAATTTGGTTATAAGGATACAATGATTGTTAATTTGATGTTTATCAAAGACAAGAAATGAATTGTTGGTAGCAAATTCAACTCATCATGATATAGTAATTATTCTTTAATGTGTGAAACTCAGTATTCAGCCATGGAACTGTTCCTACAATTAACTCATGCGGCCATACTGAGTTTGGTGGCTAGTTATGCTGATGTCATATTCTTCGACATAGACAGTCTTTGGACTTGAATTCCAAACGAAACATGGATGTTCATGGGTATCACTGCCACATGGAGGCACTTAAAGCATCATCAAACCAAAAGTTTTCTCAGAAGGCTGGTAGTAGAAAAGGGTAGGAGAGCCTTGCATCCTTCTATCAAAATTGGGACTCAGCCGGTTAAGCTCATACTATCGCCTGTGAAGTGCATAAGGTTTTGGCTAATGATAGATTCACTTGCTTCTTGATCATGATAAAATGTATTGGCTTAGGTTAATATCAATAGGATTAACACAAATCAACAGCATGGCTTCTTTGCTATGCACTGCGGAGTTATGGATATAAACAAGAACTTGCACGGAGGGATAAAAGATTTCTTTGTATTACAATAATGGTTTATTCAAGTAAGCACTCATTAGTTATACTATTATACTTTTTCAGTACCTGTAACTTTATTCTTCCAGCATAATATATCCATGGACATTGTAATGTTGTTTTTCAGCAATATTTATAATGTAATGCCTTATCCTATCCATTCATCAAAGACTTGACTTCCATACATGCTAGTGAGAGTTAGTAATTGGTAAAGAGCAACTATTTTATAACGTTCTTCTCTTAATCTTTGTACGTCTACAACACTGTAAAGAATGAATCTAAAGGCAGGTTGTAATAAGGCATATTGTACTGATCGTCAGTGCTATTTTTGTGGCTAATATTTACTCATATTTTGAATTTTTTAAATTGCTGTCTACTCACTTTTTAAAATTTTGGGAAAATTCATGCTTCTCTTCTTACTTAATTTTTGGAATAGTGCATTTGTTTTGCATATGAAGGAATTAAATACTGGATTTTGTCTTGTATATAAATCATTATTAATTAAAATCATTTAATTCATGCATTAATATATTTAAAATTTTTCAAATAGGGAAATGCATATTGTAGACAATTTTATAAAAGTATTCATAGCAATTAAAAACTTACATGCTCTAACTTAAATCCTGCATGGTTCTGCTTTTCAATAATATTTGAACTGTGGGTTGTTTGAACATTATTTTGATGTTTCAGTGATATTATTTTCATTTATTTTTTGCTTTTTAATATTTATTTATTAATTTCCTCTTTTTAAATAATTCACTGCATAAAATTCAGTCATAGATATCTTAGATTCCATATAGTATTAGCATGTCTTATTTAATCATTTAAATATATTTAGTGTAACATTAATTTTTTCCTGGCTATTATATGTTTTAATTTGTGCTTTTGAACTTGCATAAGCATTATAATAATGTTTTCTTCTTTCTTTAAAAAAATAGTTTTGATTCATGAACCAGCAGTTCTCATCGAGGGTGTGTTGTTTAGAGCCAGGTATCTGGGCTCAACTCAGTTGGTTTGTGAGGGTCAGCCTACAAAAGCAACTCGCATGATGCAAGCTGAAGAAGCTGTGTCAAGGATCAAGGTACATATTTTACACTTTAAAGTGAATTCTTGCACTAAAATTTTATAATTATTCATAGATGAAGATGAAATTATTAATTTTATTTATATTTATTACTTTGCTGCCGACTGTTAGTCATTGGTAAGTAAAAGTATTTGTATTTTTAAAAAATATTATTCTGTTTATTTCTATAATTAAAATTTTTGGGCTGTGGAGGAACTTTCATTTCTTATTTTATTTTACGTATGTTTAAATGTTTAATGTACTAAAAAATTTGGTATGAAAATCTCATAACGTTTCATTCTTTTTAGAAATAAATATTTTATGTGCTTTCTTTCTGCTTCTGTTTCTTGCTTTCTGTTTTATGAGAAAATTATTACTTTTTGCCATTGTATGTACCAAAAAAAAAGTAATGAAATATCTGTGTAAAAATGAAACTGAATAAGCACTTATATAAATTATATACAACTAATAATTTTGAACTTATAAAAATTAATTTCATTGTAAGTAAACAATTGATATACAATAAAAAACCAAGTTGGCAATATATTTTTGATAATTTCATAAAATATAAGTGAAAGCATGATTCGTCACCGATACAGTATAGTGGTTAAGGGATCCTGCTACGATACCAAAGAGCCTGGGTTCAAATCCCAGAGAAGACATGGATGTTTGTAAATATATACTGTCAGTGTGGCATAGCGGCACTCAAATTACTTGGTGAGCCGAAAGTAATCTCATGTGGATTGGTGGGAGACCCCAGATCCCTCCTCCAGGTGTGCTTCCTCAAAATTGGGGCTGGAAAATAGAAGTCAGCCTCTCTTCGAAGTAGGCTCTAGCAACCATTGTTCCATGTAATATGGACAAGACAACAACAACAAAACATGATTCTGTAACAATAATATATCTATGTCAGTTAATGTAATGTTTTCCTGTTACAGGACTGTAATGGCATTTTTTGAAACACTGGATATATCAATATATTTACTTAACATTTATTTCCCATGTAAATTTTTTTTTTTTTTTGAAGTATACATGTTGCCAGTTTTATTACCTAGTGTGCCAAAACAAATTTAACTTCTATTCTATGAATATTCACTTGATTTTTATTGTCAAGTTGAAGGTTTTTCACAAAAACAGAAGTATTTGAAAAGTTAATAAAGCAAAATATTCGAGGAAGGCTGAAAATAAAGGGCAATGCATTTATTTAAAGCAAATGAAATAAATAAATTTAAATACATTTCAACCATTATTTTGGAAAGCAATTGTCAATTCTCCTTGATCTCAAATTTTTTTAATCTATATAAATAAGGAAAAGCAGGCAAATGCCTGTTTGAAGAAAGCTTTGCAAATTATGGAGGAAGGGGAAGAGCAAGCACCATCATGAAATGTGGCAAAACTACTTACAGAAATATGACCAAAAAATGAACTTTTTCAGAAGCTTTAGTAATTAGCACAAAGGAGAATTTATTCTTCTTTGTTTTCACCTTTAATCTTTACTGACAATATTTATGTCTGTGTTTGCAAAGTACTTTTTTATGTGTTGTCTGTTTTAGTATTTAAAGTTTCCAAGTTTTGCTTGAGTTTGAAAAATGAATGTCATTTAAAATTTATTTTGATTTCATTGCAAAAATTAACTGAATTCATATTGCTTTCTACTTCTGTAGTTCTTTTATTTTTCTAATATATTCTTTATTGCATTCATGTAAAACATTAAAACATATTTGCAACAAACAAATATTGTTGGGAGGGATTGCTTGTTGCAATTTCCCCCCCCCTTCAAGTTGCAACCTTAATTTTGATCCCACCAACATCACAGCAGTTTCAAGAAATTATCCTTTCAAAACGTAGGAAAATCTGCAATCCAACATTTAGCATTGTTTATATGGAAATCTTCTATTCAAAATAATATAGTTTTTGCAATAACAAACTATCAAGAACTATTTTATTATACTTTTTCAGGATTTGTACAGGAGTAATGCTTGTAAAAAAATGTTTGCTGTATAAATGATTTTGGTACTACCATAATACTAATAACGTAGTTGTAAATAGATACAAATTTAATTTTTTAATAATTTTCTGAAATGATACAGAGAAAAAATGGCAGAATAATATGCAAAAACTGATTAAAATAGCTTTGCATCATCAAATATAATCAGGAATCAAATTTTCTGAAACATTCTTTTTCATAAATGTTTATGTTTATCCCAGTTTTCATCAAAGTGTTCACTTTTCTTTTAAAATCTAGAATTTCGTAATTTTTTAAGTAATTTTTGGCAAACATTGTAGTCTAATACTGTTCTACTTTATTAACTCAGTATTATGGTGCATTAACCATCCCTCAAAAAAAAAAAAAAAAAAAAAAAAGGTATTATATTTCAGTGTAAGTATTATATGTTTAAGATGAGTTCCTTCAGTTTTACTTAGTATTTTCTGTGGGATTAATGAACAGAACAAATGCAGTATGTGAAAAATGTGTATTTTATCTTCTTTTGTAATGAAATGTTATAGGAAGTTTGTAGTAGCCTGGTTACCATTGATTAGTAATCAAAATATCACTGTGTTTGGAAAAAAAACAGTGTCATGATTAATTGAATGTTTTTTCTTTACATATTTTTAGAAATTTTACATTTAATTGTGATCTTTAAATGCAATTTAGATTAAATTTAAAATAAGCGTTTGGTAAATATTATTTTGATGGATGGAAATTGTTGAGAAGATTAAATAAAACTGTATACAGTCAAAAGTCGTTAATCCGGACTCGTTGGAACTTTGGCGATTCCGGATTATCGATTTTTCCAGATTATAGAACATCAGTTTAAATCTCGTAAGATGGCATGCAGAAATTCTAAAATTAAAAATATGAAACCGTAATTTATGAAATAAAGAACAATTATGATCTAAAGGGTATCAAAATTTACCAATAAAAAAGCTTAATATTTATTTGTTTACTTTATGAAACATTTCTTTCAATGTAAGTTGTTTAAGTTGCTTCGTTTTATGTGATAATACTTTCTCTTTAATTCTATAAACAGACACAATTTCTTGTTCAGTAACAAAGTTCCGCTGTTCAAGTCCCGTAATTGCTGTGCCGAGAATACCGACTAACTTGTCAATCGAAATTTTTTCATTCTCACTAACCTCTCTGTCACCTTCTTCATGTCTTTATCCATTTTTTGCAGCAATTCCACTTTTTGTTTGATGGACATCGAAACATACTTTCGTTTTATAGATCCTTTGGGAGCTCCAGCATCGGAAATTCTATTTAACATAATAAAAAATTCAAGTTTACTTTTATAAAATTGCTCATACAGTCTGCAAAAAATAATAAGCCGGATCCAACTCGAAGATTAAGGAACAACACAATCATCAACATTAACTGAAATAGATAATTAGATAATTTTAGCTTATACCATCCGTTATACATAAAACGCGCACGTGAAAACGTACTCTGCGTTTGCGCACACACATATGCGCAGTAGTAAAGGTCTTAGGTCTTACGCGCACGCGTAAAAGCCTATGGGCATGTGTCAACGTGGCGCATGCGCAGAAAGTTTTTAGCTTTGAGGTCCGGATTATGGGTGTCCGAATTAACGACTTTTGACTGTATATATATTTATATAGTACATTTTCTAACTTTAAAATCTAAAGCAAAATAATCATCAAAATGTGTATTTTAAATTAACTACAAAACTGAAATATTGCATATTCAACTAAAACTGAAAGCAGTTTCATTTGGAATAAAATTTAATGATTATCTAAGATATTTTTCTTTTAGTATTTAAAATGTAAAAAAAAAAAATTTTATAGAATTTTATTTTTGTGTAAAGACTTGCTTTTTTTATGTGACTTTGATAATTTGTTTTCTAATAAAGTATGAAATATGTCTCATTTTAAAGTTATTTGTGGTAATTTTTGATGAAGAGATTTATAAAAAATTAATTTTGTTAAGGCTGAATATACACTGAGTGATCATAACAAAGGTATATCTGTTTAATACCGAATGGAGTGATGGTGATCCAAATTCTGCATGATCTGCAGAATTATTATAGCAGGATATCTTGATGAAATGGGAAGGCTTAATAAATAGCACATCTTGGAATAGGAGAAAATTTAAACAACAAACGTTTGGAATTTGTATGTCATGCAACTAAACAAATTTCAGGATTTGAACAGTGTACAAGTACACTGTAAGTACCATCTATTGCAATGTGTGAATAACTTGTGAAATAGCTTGTGCAATAAAAGGGGGATTAAGACATTAAGGTACGCCTTGCACAGCTTCTAAGAAATTACTCTGTAAAAACTTCTGTGTTTCTCTCTTTTCTGTATGAGATTAATGAAGTAGTTATAGAGCAGGGCTTTGAGAAGCACTGATATAATTTTAATAGTATTGTTCAGCTAGAAGAAAGTTTTGTTATTTTAGATATTTTATGACGAAAAGCATTTTTGTTTTCCCTGCAGAAACTGTGGATACTGAAATAGGAGTACTGCAAAGTTTCATGATGTTTGGACTGTTGTTTGGAATTAACAAAGCTTTAAGTAGGAATTTCATAATCTCCTGTGAAATATTTATAGTAAAACTACAGCAACTGATTTTTTCTGCATCTAACCTCATTTTTCATTGTGCAGAAATTTTAAATCACAACTTCTGTTCCTTAAGTCAAACTTCTTTTAACTTTTAGGGCTCGGTTGTATTTGTGGCATAAAATGGTAGTTTCTCTTGAGATGTGTTACTTTTTACTGCATGTCAGTACTTGTATTTTTATGTCACTTTATTTTATTGTAGTTATAACTTTAAATGATTTCTGAGCATGGAAAATATTTTAAGTGATGAGGAAATAAGGTTTGTTGAAACTTTGATGATATTAGTGATGGAGACTCAAGTAATGAATACATAGAACTAAGTAAATATAGAAATAGTCTTATTTTAAAAAGATTTTGCAGTTGATAGCCATAAAAATAATTTTAAAAACATTTACAAACTAGGCAAAAACAGTTGCTACAACACATCCCAAAAGGACTTATATAAAAAAAAAAACATTTTGTGTTTTATTATAAAGAGAGAAAATAAGTAATAAAAAAAGTTAACTTTTGTTCAGGGACTAAAGAAAATTGTGTTAAATTATGAAAAAATATGACCGGGCATGGGTATTGGTTAACTTTGTATTAATTGTAAGAAATGCAGCACTTTAGTATGCATGGATCAAAGCTTAGTACATATCATGAAAAGTAATTATGATCACTCACTGTGTATAGAGTATGTTACTTTTGTGCAGTTTTGTTTTAAATTGTTTTTATATTTGCTATTTATGTAAGTGTTTATAAAATGTAATTAGGAATCATTTTTAAGTATTATGCCTCAAATGTTCTTAGTGCAAATGAATACTTGAAATTTGTGAAACCTCTGCTTCTGTTTAATGTATTAAATACTTAAATTAGCATCCTGTGAACATGATTTAATATCCTCTCCTAAATACATAAATTAAATGTTATCTTCAGAAGCTTAAGCAATGAATTATTCTTATCTGTGTAATAAAACTACTGATAACTTTACATGTTAGTGTTCTTATTTCATATGTGGAAAGATGAGCAATAATTTTATATTTCAGTAGTTTTCTTAGTTTTCTGTGTTGCAAATGTTGTACTATTAGTAGTATAAAAACAGAGTAGTCTCTTTTTTGGTATTTATGAAGAAGTAAAGAATTTCAAGTTTGAGAAATTCAGAGAACAAAGGAAGAAGCAAAATGAAAAACTGAATCCTGAATGATAATTTTTATAAAAATCTCATATAAAGTTTGTTGACTTCAAGATAAATTACCTTTAACTTTTACATGAACATGTATACTTTTAAATGCAGTTGAACATCCTGTTAATGGACAGTCCTTGGGTTAATGCTTTTGTCATTTTCAGGGAATACATTAGTTCCCTGTTACAAAAGTTTGAGGATTTGGAAAATGTCTGTTAACTGGGAGTGTCCATTAATGGAAATGGAAGTTTGACTGTGTATTTATTTTAATATTCTGAAAGATGAATGGGAAAACCAATACCAAATGTAGCAATTCCAAAGCATTCTAATTTGTTGTTTCTGTTAATAATTAAACTGCAGTATGTTTAAAAACATGTTCTCTTTCAAAATACTTTTTGATTGTGGTTTTAACTTCAGATTAATGCTTAACCCCCTTCAATCTAATTAGTCTCTTAATATTTCTGTAACTTTAACACTTAAAGCATAATCCTGCAAGAATGCAACTTGCTGGTAAAAATGATGTAACGGCCACAAAAGGAGATCCTGATGAACCATTTTCTGGAACTGATACATACACCTCTTCAAATGACGTTGATGATCGTGTAGAACAGATGAAAATATCTTTGTGTCCCCATGCTGTGAGTAACCCTTGTGCACATTTGGTCCGTACAGTTTTTACATCCGCATTAATTTTAATTCCCTCGAGTTTTTCATTTGCAACATTTTGTATAGAATCTGAAACCCTTGTTATAGCTTTTTGTGAAGCTCTGATTTTTTTTTTTTTCTTTTAAAGGTTTTTATGAAATAATTTTATTGAGTTTCCAATACACATTTCAGTTTCTTGAGAATGGTTTATTTGCTTGAGAAATACAGGTTGTTCATAATTCCTTGAAACATTTGAAAATGTTACTTCAGATAAATTTTGCAAACAAATTTTGATACAGTGAAATAGAAATAAATTCATTAAGTTTATTAACAAATTTCTTAATTGCTGAATCTGTCTAATCTGCTAATACACTGATTCTATATGCATCACCTCTAGAATTCAGTTGGACTTATTGAGAAACTAGTACTGCAACTAAATGAAACAGTAGGAATGATTACTTCTTTCAAGGAAACAATCACTGGACTAATTTTCTCACAGATTATTATCAAGAGAATTTCTGTTAACATTTGCTACAAAGTTAAAAGGTTGAAAAGAAAGTACATTAATGTGATTGTCACCTCTCTCTCTCTCCAGATTCAATCTCTTGCTACTTCATCTTGCGGAGATTTGTCAGGAATACTCTCTATGTGCCTCCTCACCTTATTAATCGGTAGCATCCTTACAACTGTATAACTAATGCCTCGTTAGTGACACTCAGTCATTAGTGACGTTCACTCAGTATCATTAGTACTTAATTTTAGTCGACTTTGATGCACTCTGATCCAGCTAATTTCTTGATTGAAGATGGACATATTATTGTGAAAAATAAATAAAAAATCTTTGGTGCATATATCTTTTATTTCAGTGTAATAAAATTTGGTATCATTTGTGTAATTTATTAGTAATGAATTTATTACATGTTTTGCAGAATTATGAATAAACCTGTAGTAAGTTATTATTTACAGTTTCAGTTATATTTCGGAAATCTTTTAGTTTTTTAATCTTTTATTTCGTATATTTTTTTCATTTTTATTATTTCCAAACTTTGTCTTATTATTTCTACAATTTTTTGTAAACTTTTTAAAAGTATTCTTATAAATTTTCTCAAAGTGAAGTAGTATATTAAATAATTTTTATACATCTGATTGATTATATAATGTTAGAAACACCCTTTTTTCCTTAACAACTGCAAAAAAAAAAAAAAAAAAAAAAAAAAGTCTCTGAATAGTCACCAAAATTTTATTTAAAGTTCCATCTGTAATTTAAAGAACCATTCTTGTATATTTTAGTTCCCATTATCCATTGTTATGAATGATTCTTTATTTCAGGTTTGGTTTTCCCTTCAGCTCTGCACTATTGATCATATTTTCTCCCTTTTACTTTGCATGAACTTTTGTATGTTATAGAAATACAAAAGAAATCACTTTTTAGCTGCACATTGTTATTTATTTGCTTGTTTCAATTAGGTATTGTCCCTGAAGAATTTAAAGTTTTATTTTGCATTGTATATTTTTCATATAAATATGGCATTGAATGAAATATTGGTTATTCATTTCCAGTTCATACTTTTTTGCATGAAGTATATTTATTTTATGCAGCAAAAAGATTCAGACTGGATTACTGCATTTTAATTTCTTTTTGCTTTTTTAATATGGTAATATTGTATTGCTTTTACATGTTCTATTTTTATTGTGGATTTGTAATCGAAATGTTTTGAAATGTATGATTTTACTTTGGAATTATTGTACGCTTAGCTGTGTGTTCCATTAAGAAGATTTTCATGTTATGTATGTAAAAGACTTTTTTCATAAAATATGTGTAATGCATGATATTTAAGAATGTGTTTTGTCTCCCTTTTAGTTTTTGTTTTCTGTCTGTTGTGGAACAACAGTGGAAATTAAATTTCCATTATAAAAATATAAAGTTCTATTTCAATAGCTTTATGATGTCTGAAATGTGTGTATTTTATTGACATTTGTTTTTAAACATAAAAAGCTCTTACCGAAAATGGCAAGTATTAAAATATTACATGAACTTATTATTTTTAAAATGTTGCATAGCTAATTTTTGCCATTGATTTTTCTATAGTTCCTCTATCAGTATTCTACATTGCAACTAATATTCATGTAAAATTTTCCCTTTCAAATAAAAAGATTTCCTACTTTTTAAATTCACTTAGAGGTCTTATAAATCTGTGAAGAAATCTGTTTAAATACATTTACATACTGTTTACATATATAGTGTAATATAACCTTCATTTAGAAGATAATATATGCTGATCTTGAAAATTCAGTAGACTTTTTAGAAAATGAAAAAAAACTAGTAACAGAATGGTATACATACAGCAAAATCTCTCATATACTCATTGTTTGATTTTCTATGAATTAGTAGTATTAAAACTCTTCTCTGGTATGTCACGAGTATTCTAATATTTTCACTGAAATTATTTGGTCCATATAGTTATAGAATCACTGTTGTGCATTGATGCAATTATAGGAAACTTGTCTGTTAGGTGCCATGCAAGGCACTGACTGTTTTACTGTACCAATGAAAAACAAATTTTGTAATAGCATATAATTAAGTAATTTGTGGATCACTAAAAAATGAATAGATATTGCTGTATGGTAAAACTCAACAAATCTTGATTGCAAACATTGCATCATATTTATAAGAAGTTGGGTTTTCTAACTGTCATTGGAACTGAAAAGAGTATTGCACAGAAAAAAAAAATTGAAGGTGGCTATGCCCAGTTAAATTCAGAAGTTTGTGAACAGAATTTTCTGTCCCACTAATTACAATTTAATTATTTAACTATATAGTTTTGACATCTAACTCTTTAGAAACTACAGTAGTCATGCATATCAAAAATTGTTGTTTCCTAAAAACATACACAAAATGTGTATTTGACAAAAATAATGTGATCAAAATATTATTTGGTTTTTTCTTAGGCACCAGAGGGTGAAACACAGCCAAGTACTGAAGTTGATCTTTTTATTTCAACTGAAAAAATCATGGTTCTCAATACAGATTTGAAAGTGAGTCATATGGATATTTAATAAAATAACACAAAATTTACTTGTACTATTTGTATTGAAATTTATTTCATAAATGCAAATTCTAATAAGCAGTTTTAATCATATTTTCATATTAATATATTTGGCTGTTTCAAATTTTTAGTATGGAATTTTCTTTCTAGGAAATTATGATGGATCATGCTTTGAGAGCCATTTCCTATATTGCGGATATTGGTGATTTAGTGGTTTTAATGGCACGTAGACGTGTAATGAACAGTCCGGATGATCCAAATGAGCCTAAAATAAAACGCACACCAAAGATGATTTGTCATGTTTTTGAGTCTGAAGAAGTAAGTCACAAAATTTTTAGGGTATTAAAAACATTTTTATAATAAAAATAAAGCTGTTATTCTTATTATGGATTGTTACTATGTAATTTAACTTTTTTAATGCACAAATTTCTGTCTTCTCTGTATGTGTTTCTCCTCTTTTTTTGAATTAATATGCATTTTCATTTTGTTATTATATTTTAATATTGTCGAATTCTTTTACCAATATTAACAGTTCTAGTGTATGCGGGAAATTGGTTTCATAAAATAAAAGTTTGCTAGCAAATTCAGTGAAGCTTCACTAAGAATTTTAATGTTTTGTGTAGGTAGTCCCTTTTGAGAGGTGAAGCTCATTGCCTATTTTGTGTGTCATTTCGGAAATACTAGTAGCTTTCAGAGGTGGTCACCATGAGAGGTTTCAATGAATTAATTAATATCTTTAATAATATAGCTAAGATTTCATTACAGAAATTATTTTTAGCACTAGAATTATGGAGATGAATAATTTATATTCTTCCTATATTATTATGTATGAGCTGTCATGTATATTAGAATTTTTCATCTAACTTATAAAAGGGCATAGGAATTAAAGGTTATATTTTAATTTTTATAATTAAAGGTTATATTTCTTTTTGAAAGAAAACATTTTTTTTTAATGTTTAAATTTTAGGCTCAATTTATTGCTCAGTCTATTGGACAAGCTTTTCAAGTGGCTTATATGGAATTCCTGAAAGCCAATGGGATTGAAGACAGTAGTTTTGTAAAAGAAATGGATTACCAAGAAGTTCTTAACTCTCAAGAAATATTTGGAAATGAACTTGAAATGTTTGCCAAAAAAGAAAAACAGAAAGAAGTAAGTTATAATTTACATTACATTCACTCTCTTTTTAAAAAAAATAATGTACCTTATGTATACGGGTACTTTGTTTATTTAAGTGGATGCATAATATATATATATAAAATTTAAATTTATTTAAATTTAAATATATATATAAATATATATATAGACATAAAATAAGAAATTTAGAACTAATGTTTCACAAAGACCAAAAATTTATAAATTCATAATTAATAATTTTCAAATAATCCTATAAAATACGACAAAGAATTAAAAAAATGTAAAAATCAATACTCCAATTTTTTTAATGAAATTTGAAGAAAAAAGAACGCAATGTAATAGGAATTCAGTCAACTTCGATGCCACTTCATCAGGGAGAAGGAACATTGAAAGCGCTCTTCTACAAAAATCTTTGCTTTTCTGTATCCAGAATTAGACAATAAACCATTTCAATGTATTTTAATCATAATAGTTCACCCGGAAGTTTCTGGACCTTTTCCAAAGCAAGGAACTAGGCATATATATATACAGATTATTTCATAATACATGGGATTAAATTTAAAACCATCAAATTTTTTATTAAATAAATATTTTTGTATGTGGTTTTTGATATGGTGATCATTAGGATTATAAATTTTACATCAACTGTTGTAGAGACATTAGGTAATTTGGAAGCAGGAAAGATGAAAAATGAGCAACTGCTTTCACCGGGAATTGAACCACAGACCTCTCAATTATGCACCCAGCGTGCAGACCACCACACCACGAAGGCATGCCAAGAAGGCGGGAGAAATACCTTATATACTCCCCCCTTTTAAAAGGTGACTGGGGATTTTTTTCCAACCCTAAAAATTGTAAATGAACTTGTCTTCTGCAAACCAGTTATCTTTGCTGATCATTTTCAAAGTTAGTGTACAGTCTGAAAATTAATATTCATGCAGTTAGAGTGATAGGTCACATGCATCTTATTTTCTTGCAGTCAAAAAAATATTACCACTGGAATTTGGTTATGTATATTCAGAATCACTGTACATCTTTTAGTAAATTTTTATATTGATTAAGTAATGTAATTTCATTAGCATTGTTAAGTGTTTAATTAATTAATATTTATTTTTGTACAGGTTGTTGTTCCTAAACAAAAAGGTGAAATTCTTGGCATGGTTATTGTAGAGTCTGGTTGGGGTTCCATGTTACCTACAGTAGTCATAGCCAATATGGCTCAAAATGGACCTGCAGCCAGATGTGGGCAACTTAATATTGGGGATCAAATTATTGCCATAAATGGAATAAGTCTAGTCGGTTTGCCTTTATCAACTTGTCAAAACTATATAAAGGTATTTTTGCTTTACCTGATCCTATTTGTAATATTGTAATGGATGCAAAAAATTTCTCTGCCATATTAAAATAGCTTCCTGACTATTTTATGTACTTCAAAGTTAATGATTGCTTATATGTTATTTATAACATATAATAAAAGCACACATAAAAGGCAAAAACATAAAATCAAATGTTAGTTTAACATTTTTAAATTGGGTATTTTTTTGGTTTGATAGATAAAACTTAAAAATATTGCTGTTTTGATCTTTTTTTTTTTTTTTTTTTTTTTTTTTTTTTTTTTTCACTGTACGTCATCTGTACATGTGATCAAATTTAAAATCATCAAATTATTTATTAAATAAATGTTTTTGTGTATAGTTTTTGATATGGTGATCAAATGTATTTCAATAGTCAGTTTACTGATTATTACACTGAAGTTGTGTAATTTGTGCAGCCCAGACATGCAGTAGAAAGAATTTAATTAAATTCTGACCCTATTTTTCAGGCCTTAAATTTCTTCCTTTCTTTTTAACTTTATTATGTCACATTGAGAAAAACAATGTATATTTTTTTCCATGAACTGTTGTAAAAGTGTGAACAAACGCTGATTGAAAACCAGGATAATGTCATTGCTAACTAATCATAGTAAATAAAATATAAATGAATGAAATTTGTACATGAATAAATACATGTTAATTACGGTTTTGCTTCTAGGAGGGACACTGAAATATAATACATTCTTGTATAAAGTTCAACTGGATCATAACACATTGGCCAGACGCATGCATGTTTGCCACTTGTCAATAGTATTTTTATTTTCCCTTTACATCATTCCTATTAGTTGTAATGAATATGTCTGATTTGAAAACTCATAGCAGTGTTTGTTATCCAGCAAATCATAATTAGATTTTTAACTAACAAAGGTTCACATTTATTTGGAGCCTAAAAAAATTATTTTGAAGATAAGTATCTCTCAATCTAGCTTGAATTATCGGCACAAGTCTTTTAAAGAAGTAAGTAACTGGGGAAGAGCTGAAAATGAACTGCAAGTCTAATAAGCAGGTTATTTTTACTAGGCAAGAATGGGTTAACCTAATTATTAGTATTTTGGAATTCACAGGTTTTAGACTACATTCAGAAATTTTATTTAATTGTAAAATAATTGCATTTTATTGGATTTTTTGTCTTCAATAATTTTTATAGCTTTCACAGTCAAGTCAATCTTATAAGTACTGATTTTTGAGTTAGTTTGCCTTGTCTTTTGGTTAGTAAGTTGACAGTAGTTAAGAATAATTTCATATTTTATCTTCAAGGAAGTGCTCCATAGTATAATATTTAATAATTGCATTTAAAAAAAGGCATGTGTTTGTCAAGTTGCTAGTCATTTTAAATATCATATAGTTTTCTATTCTTTTTTTCAATGCTACCATTACTTGTTTTCTAAAAAAGTCCATAATTAAAAATTTATGTAAATACAGTTCATACTTTTGAAATATATGTAATTTAATCTATCTTCTGATTTTCTAATTTTTTATCATTTTCTTTACAGAACACAAAAAATCAAACAGTTGTGAAGTTAACAGTTGTACCTTGTGCACCTGTCGTTGAAGTGAAAATTAAAAGGCCTGACACAAAATATCAATTGGGTTTTAGTGTACAAAATGGTGTTGTAAGTTTTTTACAAAAAAAAAATCTTCATATATTTTTTTTCATTTTATAAATTTGTTATGTTTTTTAGTTTTATCAGAAATAAGATGTATTTTTACTTCCTTGTACGAACTAAAGGAAGTATTGAAATGTTGGGTATCCTATTTCAACGAACATATCCATTTTGACTGCTCTTGAATCCATTTGATTAATGTTTTTGCATGACATCTGTACATTGGACAGAATAAAGGACACTTTTTCCCAAAACGAGTTGTAAAATGGAATTAAAATGTATTCAGAAGAATTTTTTTTCGCGAGATCTGCATGTCCATACGTATCTCATATAACTCAAAAATTGCAAGTTGCCTTGCAAGTTGAAGTTTTGGGTCTGCTATCTCCCTATTTGGTTGTAATAAAAGTTTTTCATCAAAAAGAGTTTTTAATAAAGTTAGAAGGAAAAAAAACATGAAAGCAGTACCTTTAGTGCGGGTAGTAATCACTACCCAAATCTATGATTTCTGCATCTCACTGTGCACCTTACTGTCCAGGGTTTTACCTTTTTCCAGATACTCTTTGTGGATGATAGTGCAGCCAATCCCACCAGGTATAAAGCTGTATCTTTTTGTTAGTCAAATTGCATTTTGCGATCCAGCTGACGGGCTCACCTGGTGCAGACCAACCCCCTTTTCTGTCTGTGTTGTTGAAGTAAATTCACTTTTCATCACAAGTGATGATTTGGTGCAGAATTTCGTCCTTGTGTTGATATTCGAGCAGATTTGTACAGGTTCGAGCACAACTGTCCTTATCTGCTCAAGTCAGCTCATGCACAACCCAGCGTCTGAACTTGTAGGTCAAGTTTAGGTGACGCATAACGTAACTAATGGGCATGGCACTAGCGTCTAAATTCTTAGCAAGCTCTCGAGTGCCTGCGTACTGATCTTCTTCCACAAATTCTCACAGGTGGACCTCATCAACGTGAGTAGGCCAGCCAGAGCACTCTGCATCTTGAATGTCATAGTTCTTGTTCTTAAACTTGGTACCAGAACCATATTGGTTTCAAAGGGTCACTTGTAGATAAGGCTTTTGATATGGCTTCAGTGATGAGAGAGTGAAAAATGAGAGATCCCGTGATCTTGCTGGCCAAACTATGGGATAACTTCGACCAATCCATCGTCTTGGAAATTTCGTGATTCGTATTACCAGCCATCTTCTCAGCAATTCCCAGTAGAAAATGCTGTTGGGTCAAGAACAGACCCTTTTTATATCATTTACAGTGCAACCTACGAAATTAATTGAATGAGAAATATATATGTAATGAAATTCAAGGAAATAAGTCTAAATAAAATGCAGCAAAAAATGTGTATAATTTAATAGGTCGTACAAGGAAGTCATATGGTGTTCACATCAGATTTCTTAATTTGGATTTTTCCAAATTTGGAATAATTAATTTTATTTCATTTTTTAGATTTGTAGTTTATTACGAGGTGGTATAGCAGAAAGAGGAGGAGTTCGTGTTGGTCATAGAATTATTGAAATAAATGGACAGAGTGTTGTTGCGGTACCACATGAAAAAATTGTGAATCTGTTGGCAACATCTGTTGGAGAAGTGAGTTAATTATATATATAGAATAGTTGCGAAAACATGTTTTTCATTAACTAGGAATTGTCAAATGTACTTTATGTATGTTACGGGGTAATATTGATTACTTTATTAAGGCTAATACTAAATGAAAGAATATGGAGGATTATCCATATTCATATGAAAGAGAGGATTATGAATGTAAATGGGAAAACTATATGAAATATTAATTTTTAAATACTAAAGATTGATATTTAGCATTTTATTTTTAAAAAGTATTCTTTCAAATGCATTAATATGTGATTTAATATCATAACAAATTTACAGAGTATTTTAACTTCTGAAAAAGAAACATTTGGTTATGCCGTGCATTTTAACCCTCTTTTTTTAATATAAAAGAGGTTAATTCTAAGCACTTTGTTCTAAATGCAAACTTTTAGATAAATACTAAACACATTTTAGAAGAATGGTTTAAATTTTCCCCTCTAAACTTCAGATGAAAAAGAAGAGGATATGAACTGGATAAAATTGTAACCTGGAAAAAGGGAATTTAGTGATTTCAAGGGTATTCTGTATAGTGATTTTTAATGGAACTCTGTCTAGCACTGTCTTGCTTTTATAATCCTAGCACTGTCTTATTTTAATAATTTTATAGTTTGTTTATTTTCCTGTTTTCTTTTAATAAAGAGTAATTTTCCATTCTTTTTAGTCTTTTTATTTGAATTAAGCTTTTCTATTTCTTTAATCATGAGTAGGTATCATATATCATTCTCAGACTGTTTCTTTAGATGCATTTCGGTTATTAAAAATCATTACAATATGTATTAAATATATGCTTAGTATGCAACTTGATAAGCTGTGTAAATAATTTGTTAAAAGGATTCTTAGTTCACCTCATACACCTTCTTATGCAAACATGTGCACTGGTGGTGTTTGGCATATTTTTATTGCTATTTGTCAAGTTTAATAATTTTTCTAACTTATAATAAAGGGAAGACATCAATTGATGTAATAATATATCAGTAGTGTGTTATAAATTGAATACCACAGCTAATCATACTGATTTTTTTGGGAAGGGTGAGGGGTTGAGTTTATAAATGTTATTGATTAATAGCTTTTAAAAATAAGATTAGAACCCATTACTACCATTAAAATCATAATTGTAATGGTAGAATGTATTTTTTTTTTTAATCTGAATGTACATTTTACTGTGCTCTTTTACATGAAAAATATCTTTTTTGTTTTACTTTTTGGCATTAATAAATTATTTAACGTCGCGGTGCGCATTGAACTGAAAGTTGATTTGTCAGCACTATCCTCATCTTCAGGGCAGATTTTTTTTATTTTATTCAGCTTATAATTCCTTACTAAATGTAGTATTTCATCTCAATGTACTCCGTGTTTGATATGATTTAAATCAAATTTCTCGTCATTATAAAGATCACGAATACACATCAAATAGTTTTCTGGTTGAAATTTTGTAATTTCGACTATGCGTAATGTATGCTTTACGCATGCACGCATTGAAAGAAAAGTAAACAAATAAATATTAAGCTTCTTCTTCTTCTTCTTCTTTTTTTTTTTTTTTTGTTAATTTTGATACCCTTTAGATCATAATTGTTTTTTATCTCATAAATTACGGTTTCGTATTTTTAATTTTATAATTTCTGCATGCCATCTTACCAGATTTAAATTGATGATCTATAATCCGGAAAACCGATAATCCAAAGTCCCGATGAGTCCGGATTAAAGACTTTGTGCTGTATTTAGAATTTATTTCAAAAAATAGATTCTAATTCAATTAACAATTGTGCGCTAAAAAGGATCACTGATTATTCTAAAGCATGTAAATATTGAGGACAGATGAATGTTCCTTATTTATATCATGAGAGATATCATTCAAATATTATAAAATCTATTCCCATTTCTTTACAGAGCTGATGTACTGGATGCTTGTATCTCAGAAATAATAGAAGGTTAATAAATAGCTATCGTACTTTCATAACTTATTGTTTATATTTTTTTTTCCTTCAGAATTAACATATCCTCACGAAGATTACATCTTAGACTCTGAAAAGTTAATTATAAATCTTTTATGAAAAATGTAATTAGTATTGTAAACAGAGTAAACTAAATTCACCAAAAAGCTAAATAGTTTTTTCTTGGGTTAATTTTCAAATTGAAATATTTGGTTTTTCATTTTTAATTCTGGATGTCTTAATATGGAAATTCGAAGAAATTATGTTAGAAATTCTAATATTAAAATTTTTATAATTTTAGTGTTATCAGCACTTTCTTATTTTTACAGTTATTTAGTTTTCACCTCAGTAGCTTTTATTATCTTTTTAATATGATTTTTCAAATTTTAGCAAATGCGGATTTCAGATGCTAAACAATTTAATATTATTACTAGTAAAAAGTTAACTGTGTGGAATAGCAGAATATAAATTCAGTCTTTAATGTAAATAACATAAAATTCCCAGCTACCGCTTTATTATTAGGCTTTTTATATGGGTATTTTAATACCACTGAAACATAAAAAAACAAGAAAATTTAACATTTCAAGAAAAAAAATTTTAAATAAAAATTTAAATAAAATTTAAGTATTTTGTAACTATTTTATTATTGCTTAGAAAAATTCAGCTTTTTAAAAATATTCTTGAATTTGCATTTAAATGAGTCATTATTGAAGGGGATTAAATAGCTAAATTAGCATTATGTGTTGCCTGATCTTTTTGCCATGGAATTAAATTTTTCTGGCACATAAGCAGATCAAGATAATAAACATACTCATTATTTGCATGTATATGAGGGACAAAATATATTAATTTGTGCAGAATTTTCATCAAGTATTTGATAAAACATAAAATAACTCTTTTATTTAAAAAATCTTCATTAAAATTCAGCTGGGAGAATGTTGCCACTGAGAGATATAATACAGTCAAAAGTCGTTAATCCGGACTCGTTGGGACTTTGGCGATTCCGGATTATCGATTTTTCCGTATATTCATAGTTTAATATTAGTTATTAATTATTAATTAATTAATTAATTTAATTATTTAATTATTATTAATTACATCAGTTATTAATTGAATTAGATATTTTTTTCTTTCTTCTCTAATGCAAGTTAATCTGGTAAGATGGCATGCAGAAATTATAAAATTAAAAATATGAAACCGTAATTTATGAAATAAAGAACAATTATGATCTAGAGGGTACAAAAAAAAAAAGCTTAATATTTATTTGTGCTTACTTTATTAAACATTTCTTTCAATGTAAGTTGTTTCGTTTTCAGTAACCTCTGTGTCACTTTCTTCTTTATCGGAAGCGAATTATAATGACGAGGAATTTGATTTAAATCATATCAAAGACGGAATACATCGAGATGAAATACTACATTTAGTAAGGAATAAGCCAAATGAAATAAAAACATCTGCCCTGAAGATAAGGATAGTGCTGACAAATCAACTTCCAGTTCATTGCCTGCCGCGACGTCCCCCCCCCCCCGGCAGAGCAGCGTGAAATTGATAAACAGATTTCGGAATGGTTAAATAAACAAAGGATATGCCTTTATCCATTTTTTGCAGCAATTCCACTTTTTGTTTAATGGACTTCGAAACATACTTTCGCTTTGTAGATCCTTTACATATTACTAAATATATATCGGAAATTCTCTTTGACATAATCGAAAGTTCAAGCTTACTTTTATAAAATTGCTCTAACAGTCTGCAAAAAATAAAATGCCGGATCCAATTTGAAGATTAAGGAACAACGCAATCTGCAACATTAGTTGAATTAGATAATTTTAGCTTAGCTTATACCGTCCGTTATACATTAAACGTGCAAGCATAAATGTATTATGCTATTAGACGCATGCGCAGAAAGTTTGTAGCTTTGAGATCCGGATTATAGATCATTCTGGATTATGGATGTCCGAATTAACGACTTTTGACTGTACTAATAAGCTGGAATGCAGCTAACCAAGTAACAGTAAATTTTGTGATGAAGAAAGTATGTAGTGTAATGAGCATTCTTAAAATATATTTTTTTCTTTCTTCTCTAATGCAAGTTAATTTCCATAGTGATATCCTGTGATTTACAAGCTAGTGATATTTATTTTTATGAAATTAAGTATCTTGTATATTTACTATATTTTGTACTTAATAGTAATTTTGAAATTTGCTCATTAATTACTTTTACTATTTGTAAAAGAAGTCTTCATTTTTCTGTACATCTCTCAGATATATCCAAAAACGCTGATGTACTTAAACTAATAAAAATCCTTTTTTCTTCCTCTTATTCCCACTTTAAATGTGAGTTATAATGAGCACCTACTGAATAAGCAGAATAATCAGTTGTTAATCGCTGACATTGCAGTGAATTTGATCATTTATGAACATTTCCAAACAGAGTTAGATTTTGCCGATTATTAATGTTTAAATGAACATGCACTTTTTGATGCTGTGGTTCTTCATATAAGTTATATTAAAATGTAATTTTCATGGAAGAACTTGTTAGGCAGAGTTCCCAAAACATTACTAAGACTACATATTATCCAGAGGGTGGGAAATATAAGTATATCATTATTGTTCCTATTTCTAGTGTGTAAAATGTATTCAAGATATGTAGATTTTTATTATTGTAATCATTTATGTTAGAAATATTATCTTCTGAACTAATTATCATATTAAAAATAAATAAATAAAAATCTTCTTTTAGTATGAAAAGTGCAATAAATTAAATCGAGAATGTTGAAATATTATCATTCATTACAGTTGTGGAAAATTTCAGTATTAGATTTGGAAAAATATCATATCCCTTGTTTGTAATTTTATCACTTTTAATAGTGCATGCACTTTTTATATAATTATTTCAAGGATGAAACTGATGTTGCATATGTAGTTTTTTCCCCTACTTGTAATGAAATTTTAATTTTCTTTTATTTAGATTCATATGAAAACGATGCCTACATCTATGTTCAGATTGTTAACAGGTCAAGAATCTCCTCTATATATCTGAGAAAGATTATTGCATCTCTCTTTTTGAAAGGAAGATGTTTATGGTGCCTCCATTTTCTTGGCGGCAGCCAACATCAGTGGCAGCCACCGTCAAATCGTTCACTTCTCTACAGCAGTGATATATGTAGTCGTAGATGTGCAAACAAACAGGGAAAGCAGCAACAAAACTGTATTCAAAATCATTTAGCCATATCAGGGTCTGTACATGTGTGTTTGTTAGTATAAGGCGACACAAGTCAGATATTGTTCCAATGGATGAAGAAGTCAGTGTGTATTTGTATTCCCTGGTTGCTTTATGCTGTGTCTGTCGTTAATGTATAAAAACTCATTTTCTGCACTTTCTCTTCCAAGATATGATGACATGCTCTCATGATGACACATTGGGCCAATTGCCGCTTGTGTGTTTCACTTCACTAGTCACAAAACAATTTAAGAAATTTTTGTTTCCAATTTGTTCCCCTCTGGTGATCTGATAAGATGACTTGCAAGGCTTGGGATGCCTGTATTTTTATTATATAGTTAGTGCTCGATGTGACAAATCTTATTCCGAGCTCTCTTGTATCTTACAATTCATTTGGAAGGTTCATCTCTACTTTTGTTCATTTACTCAGAACCATGCCGTGTATGCTTCTGAAGAATTACTTAGTGCCTGAAACAAAAGATAATACTGAATACTGAAAGATTGCTTTCACTATGAACTGAGAAGAAATCTGATTTTCAAGCAAAATACTAATTGTAATGTCATCATTACTATGTAATAACTTCATGCTACTCACCAATATCTTAATTGCATTTGTTTTGAGTTGCTTTTTAAGCCTATATCAATTTGTGGTAAAATTACTCATTTTTGTTTAAATTTTTATTTTTGATAATTTTTTACAGTAATTTCATGATGTATTAAATAACTATAAGGTTCTGATTTACTAAATTTTTATGTTAATGTATGCTTTCATCATTGAATATTTAAAATTAAGATTCCATAAATTGAGCTAATTGCCATTTCTGAAAGTTAGTCAAGTTTTAAAATTTAAACAATTCCTGTAAACTGGTTCTTAATATGAATCAATATAATTATGAACTATTTTAAACTTTAATCATATCTCCTAAAACATCTGTCAGTATTTATTTTTTAACTGTGAATAGAAGATGTATAAGTAATTATTTTCATAGGTTGTTAATATCATAATTGCTAAAAACATAGGAAAAATTCACTGCTTCTAATAAATGTATTATTCTATGAATTCAGAATGCTGTAGAGTTAAAATCCAGATTGAAATCAAATTGTTGTTATTTAAAGGATAAAACTATTTTCAGGAACTGAATTTGCTCAAATCTAATTCTTATATGCTTAAAATTTAGAGAGGAAAATTTTGTATTTAGAAATATTCTAAGTTTTTCATATAGTGCTTAGTTAATGAAACTACATTTTAGATATTCTTTCATTAAATTATTTATAATGAATATGTACTATAATATTGAGATTAACAACTTTCGTAATGCATGAATAATAGTATTCCTTAACAAATGTAGTAAATTCTGTATATGGCAGTATTTACTCTGAATAGTACATGATATACAGAGTATATTAAGTTTGTAGCTTTGTTTTGAACCCCAGAAGAATATTTTTATTTCAGTTTTTGGCCACAATTTCTAAGTTCATTGCTTATTTTTAGCTTAATCTTTTTTTTTTTTTTCTTTCCCATGCCTTCGATTTCTGAAAGCTAAATAAAGCTTGTGAAATATTTTATGCTGTTATTCTGTCACTGTCATATTTAAGTTTCCTGTTTTATAATGCCAAATTTTTGTTTCTGTGTCTGAACTAAGAAACATATCAAGTTATTGTTTGAAAAATGATTAGCATTTGTTTTTAGAATTATTACATATATATAATTATTATTATTATTGAGTAATAAAGTTCTCTAGTCATGTTCTGTTGCATGTAAATATTTGCATTGTCATCTGATAAAATGTTTATAAATATATGTATAAAAAAGATATGTTTATGAATTTTTTTAAATAGTATTGTAGCAAATAGTTTTTGCTTCATGGTGTTGTTGAATTGTGGACCAAAAATATCTTGTCTAGGAAATCATGGAGCAAATTTTGTTAAAGTTTGCATTACACCGAAATATCTCAAAACTAGACATATATATATTTATTTTTCTCACAGTTTTGAATATAAAGTATGATTAATATATTAATTTTTCAGCTTATCTTATTATTTTGACTTAATTGTATACTTCATGGGTATCACTTGATAAAATTTCAGAAAATAATTGAATTCAAAAATCTAATTCTGAAAAAAAAAAATATGATTTTAAATAGTTGTAAGATATGTTTTAAAAATAAAAAATGTAATTAAAAGAGAAAATATTCAGCATAATATATGCTAAATGCTCATAATCCTTAAAACTAGGCTAATAATTATTTAACTCATATTCCTTAGTTTAGGTATCATTTCAAAGAATGTTGTAAAATTTTTGTTCAATATTTCTTCCATGAATGGTTTTAAGGTGAGGGTGCCTTGAATGATTTGTACAAAGAAAGGTATTAGACTGTGTATTTGTGATCCAACTGAAATAATAGTAACATAGGATTAATGTGAATTATAAATTATTAGCCAACTGGTTCCATTATTTTCCATTTGTGATTGAAAGAACAGAGTGAGATTGATATGTCTGAGATTCCTAGAACCTTAGGTAGTGGTATTGTTTTAAGAATGTTAAACTTCATAATTTATAAGAAATCTGGTGGGAAGTACTACTCAAACATTTGCAACATAACTAAAATATCAGACTTATAGATTTGTGCATTTGATTAGAAATTTCTACAGTCACTATGCCATTCAAAATTAGTGTTGGACTGTAGAAGGTATATACAAGTCTAATTTTCCATTTTTCAAGAATGAAATTTAAAATTTCTTCATTTGATAAACTTGGGCAATCTGATGCGTCTTCAGAATTCAATGCGGTGTTCATTAATTAGTTTGAGAAACCTTAAAGTGCTTTCATTTGAAATTGCATTTAAATTTGTTGGCAGTAAATCGTTGCCTTCTTAATTCTAAGGAATATTGCATGTTGTAATCAATTTATATAAGTTGGCATGCTGTTCAACTTGCTAAAAATCTTTTAATAAATGTTAAGACAACATTGTTTTTGAGATTTTTATAACAACACAGAAACTTAATAAAACAGCTACGTGTATGCTTTTTCACAAAGAAGGCCAAATATAGTTGTTGTTTTAAGATTGCAAGTCAGTCCTTGTGTTGTTAAGTGTAAAGATCAGTTTGCTTATAGAGGTCATTTTTCATTCTTTTGAAAAAAATATTTTGCTTTTAGTTTGTATTTTTGTGTGTTAAAAAGTTTTGATAAATCAAAACAAATTGGCTGAGGTTTTGCTTTGAGATATTCAGTTTTTTTATTTCTGTATTTCTTTAAAATGCAGTTAAATATTTGTATTTTATTATCTCGGGCTGTTTTGAAATATTGGCATTATTAAAATGATGACCTTTCATCCATGAAAGTGTAATTCATATGTGCTTGACACAACTGAGAAAATAACTGTACATAAAGAATACTTGATGGCTGTAATAATTTATTTATTTTGATTGATGTATATCTGGTCAGCAAAACAATACAGAGTTTTGCAGACATGTCTGACTGAACATTATTTGCTGCATTTCTTATGGAATTATGAAATTTTGAAGCAAGTAAAAAAAAACTGTGTCTCACTTGCTGTGCTTTATAAAATCCACTATTGAGCATTTGAAAAACCTTTTAAAATGTTTTCCCTTTAAATATTGTCCCTTAGATTTAATAAAATGTAACCTGTCCAACTTTGGTAATGTCTTTCTTGTCTCAATCTTTCTGTGTGTAATGTGACTTTTACCTCTATCATTCAGACACAAAACTTGGAAAAACCATTCGCTACTGGATATAAAATCAATTGCATTCAGTTTGTAAAATGATTGGATATACCTGTAAGGTCTGAAAATTCTAAGTTAGTAATTTTCCTTTACAATGTTTTCATTTACCGCCTCAACACTGTGAACATGCATTTCACAAAATATCTTGTTATTCTTTTAGTATTTCAGTGCTGTAATTTGGTATGATTAGATTTAAGTAAAGGTGAAAATGGAGATTATAATACTAGTTTTAACCTCTGAAATACTTTTTATATGCATATTTTTAGAGGTCTATAAGTATATCAGTTCATATGAGTCTGAGAATTTTAGATGAAATAAAAAGAGATTTTTCATAACTAATTTTACTTGCATTAAAACTGTTCATTAAAACTTATCAGAAAAGAGAAACATAAAAAAGAAAAAGGGACAAAAAACTTGAAACAAAACAAGTTAAAAAGCAAGGTATAAAAACTACAGTGAAGATTGCTTATATTAAAGTACAAAGTCGATTCATGATTACTACTGTTTAAAATTATATGCATGTTCTCGACTTAAGCAGCATCATCTATCTACTCGTTAACTGTAAATGTCATCAACTGCATTACCACCATTACAGTTCACTTTTCTGCCAATTTTTATGTATCTTTCATTTTGATCGTTCACTTTATTATGTACATCCAATATTCTTACTAAACATTTTTTGTTTCATGGTTTCTAAAATCATTCTGAAGGGGTATTTTGGTCATGCCTATATGGCAATATGTAATTACTACATTTTGCATGCTAATGGCATTGTGGTTTTACTTCAGTTTTTCGTAGGATTAAAATAAAAGAATCAGAATGACTATTTGACAATAAATTATGCATAGTTCTACTTTGGGACTCATTCTGAAACTAAGCAAGCCTTGTGCCATACAACACCTGTTGTTTCTAATCTCTGGATATTTGTTATTTAAGCTTCTCTCGGAAAATGGCTGAATTCAGTAGTCATTCATTGTCCACAAATGGAAAATGCATATGCAAAGATGGGAAAAATTTATCACAGCTCCTTATTTCTTAACCAGAATTCAGGCATTCAGCATGGATATTGTTCAATAAGCTCCCAGTTGGCTAAAGGGTCTGCAGCATTATTCTGCAGAAAATGTCCTTGTTTTGTATTCACCATAGTAAGAACACTGGCATCAGGATATCAACAGTATTTAGATAGGCGCTAAAATGAAGTATTTAGAGCCTATCTGAGCTTCTATTCAAACTGTAACATGTAATATAGTGCGTTTAATATTGAATGCAACAAAAAGAAAGCATATACCTGTGACCACTGTAATTACTTTATTTTGATAAATCAAATTTACAGTAAACTGTAGTTCTCCAAGTTTCTATAGGTGTTCTATATGTACCCTGTGGGGGCATGGCAAATATCTAGTGGTATTTCAGTTTTTGCCGCACTCATGATAGAATATCCTTTGTTAATGATTCTAGCACTTCAGTTACTGCAAGTCCTGAGGAAATGGAGGCACGAACACTTCATTTTTAATAAAACCCATTGACATTAGGAAAAATTTACTGGGGATCTCAGAGGCAGCGCCAGATTTAATATTTTTCCTAGGCGGGGCAAAAACTTAAAACTGCTGCCCTCACCCATCTTCCTTTAAGTTTCTCTAACAAATTTTAATTCTTTGAATAAACATAGAAATATGTAGGGTTTGAGATAAAATGTAAAATCCTTTTTATAATAAGAAATTCTTTATGTGCCATTTCTGTTATAAAAGAAATATACATAACAAATGGTTTAGTTTCTTTAAGGCGGGGCAAAAACTTAAAACTGCTGCCCTCGCCCATCTTCCTTTAAGTTTCTCTAACAAATTTTAATTCTTTGAATAAACATAGAAATATGTAGGGTTTGAGATAAAATGTAAAATCCTTTTTATAATAAGAAATTATTTATGTGCCATTTCTGTTATAAAAGAAATATACATAACAAATGGTTTAGTTTCTTTAAGGCGGGGCAAAAACTTAAAACTGCCGCCCTCGCCCATCTTCCTTTAAGTTTCTCTAACAAATTTTAATTCTTTGAATAAACAGAGAAATATTCAGGGTTTGAGATAAAATGTAAAATCCATTTTATAATAAGAAATTCTTTATGTGCCATTTCTGTTATAAAAGAAATATACATAACAAATAGTTTAGTTTCTTTACTTATGACAAAGCACCTGCCTAAGAGGAGGAATCGCTGAGGACTTTCTAAGAGTAATTGGCTCATATGCAAGTTATGCATGACGGAAACACCCATATAGCTCGCTAATTTGCTTGATTCTAACCCCCGACTAAACTGCTAGTGTTCAGATTTTACCTCTCAGCCGCTGGTGGCCCAACATACATACCAAAAGTTACATAATTAAAAAACCCTTGCAAACCCTCCTAATGCAGTGTCTTTTTTTCCCTGAAATTTACATTTTCCATTTTCCAGTGTCACATTTTCCCTGAAATAGGGATTTTTATCAATATTTGCAACAATACCTACTCATACTAATAAATGATACTAATAGAAAACGATTCAGTACTAAATATTAAATAGTTCAGCACAGTACGAAAAGCGGAATCACACACTACTAAGTAATAAAAAATATTATTTAAGCAAATTACAAATAACTAATGCAATGGATTGAATAATTTTATACCAATTTCTCGATACTAACAGTAACTTTAACCCAGCACGTTAAAAATTCATTTCACAATAACGCCTTCATGTAGTCTACTCAAGAACTATTGTCCTCAAAAAGCCCGATAACATAATAAATATTTACATATTCAAACAAAAGACTACTGTAACGTAATAATCAAATTTTGTACTGTAATAATCAAATTTACATTTTTCTCAGAAATACGCAATTTTTCAATATTTGCAACAATAACTAGCCAGACCAATGGAAAATGATTCAGTACTAAATACTAAAGCAGTTCAGCATAGTGCAAAAAATAGAACTGACATATTACTAATTAATATCTTAAGCAAATATATATAAGTTACAAATCACGAATGAAATAGATTCAATAATAAACACACCAAATTCTCTAAAATAAAACAACTTTAACCTGGCACTTTAAAATTCCATTTCCCTGTAACGCCTTTATGTAGACTACTCAAGAACTTTACTATCGGCCTCAGGCAGCCTGATAACATAATAAATATTTACATATTCATACAAAAGACTGATTTTGCACTGTAATAATCAAATTTACGTTTACTTTGAAATATGTAATTTTGCAATGTTTGCAACAATAACTAGCCATAGTAATGGAAAGTAATTCAGTACTAAATACTAAAGCAGTCCAGCATAGTACAGTACGAAAAATAGAAATGTCACATTACTAATAATAGCTTAAACGAATATATACAATTTACAAATCACTAATGCAATGAATAATCAAATTCTTTTTTTTTTTTCAATAACATACTTAAATAAGTAACTCCTGACGTTCACTCAAATATGCACTCGTAATAAAAATAATCTTTAGTTACAAACAATAGACACATAAGTTGGGACAATCGATGAGCTGATTAATTATGTAACTAACTTTCATTAGCTATACTTAACAACAATACGAGCTACTGCTGATTCATAATTCTTATTTCATTAATAATTTTTTTTACCTAACGCTCTTAAAATATTACGGAATTAAAATTTTACTCTGACAGCCTTTTGCTCTGCAAATAAATCTATGGCATCGTCATAATTAACTTGATGTACTGTTTGATTTTCGATTGCCAAAACTGCGTGACTTGATAAACGCTCCTGGTTCATGGATGATATCAGATAGTTTTTATTAAGTTTTAATTTGCTAAAACTTCGCTCACTTGCGGATGTAGTTGGAAGCATAGAGTAAATCTGCAGGGCAATACAACTATTGTAAAAGAAATCCTGAAAATTATAGATGTAGATCTGTCGCTGGGGGTTAAAAAACTCTAGCCTTTTTTATGTCGATGAATAACATTGACGCTTGTTGTTTAAAAAAGGCAAGTTCCTGGCAGAACTCAAATGCGTTTAGATCTCGCTCATATTTTCGTGCAAGATCTGTTCCATTCCTTTGCAATTCTTCAGTTGACATATTCAATATTTCACGACCAATGAGAAATGCGAAATTTGAATTTAGTGTAGTAGTTTAGTGCTGTTTACCCTCCTTTTAATTTCTGATAAGATTCGATAAAATACAATTTTCATTGCATTAGAAAATAGCTGAACAGGATGAAGTCTTTGTGATTCGCACTAGTACAACATATCAAATTGCTTTTTGCGCTTTAAAATTTGTTTATTTGTCAAAATAGGTTCAATCTCAATTTTTTCGGCTGTTGCTTTAGATTCTTCTATCCAATATGCTATAGCAATTTCTCTCATTTTTTTTTTTTTTTTTTTCAAAATTTTGGTCAGGCATTCCATTAATGCGACGGAACGCGCAAGAACAGTATCTTTCTTTTGAATTTCAATATTTATTCGATTGATTTCTCGAAGACTATTAGCCCAAATTATCAGGCTGATAATTAATTTCTTTCAAGGATTTTACGACTTCTGGTAAATTCGTTAGAAGAGCTGTCACAGCCACACATTTTGCCGACCATCTCGTCTGGCTGCTTCCTTTTAAGTTGGTTTTCGTACATCTTTTTTTAATATTCCATCGAATAGTGGATTCGACAAAAAAAAGCTAAATATTTAGGCTTCGGGGTAAGATGAGGCAGAATGCACGCCGACAAGACTCAACAGAGTAAGCCAAACATTGCTTATATTGGTCCAGCTGATTCATTTCTGTAATCTTGGCTTGTACTCCGTTATAAGTACCGGCCATATTAGATCCGTTATTGTCAGATTGACCACCACATTATCCAATATCCAAACCATCATGAGTCACTTTTCCCACAATCCGTTGAGAAATGCATTCTCC